TCTTGGACAAAATACTTAAGCTCTCAAACCCTCAATTTCTACATTTGTAAAAACCAGATAATAATAGATATACATGTCATGGGGTTATTGTGAGGATTAACTAAAAATCACAAAGTGTTTAGCAGAAACAAGCACATTGTAAACACTCGTCAGCTTTAAAAGCTACATACAAAACAAGCAAATTGTAAACACTTCATGAACTTTAAAAACTACATAACATATAACTGCTGTTATTATTTTGAAAAAAATGTTTCCAGTTTGTTGTGGGCCATTTAACTTTGTTTACAGTGCCTTATTATATACCCCAATTGTGGGGTAAGAGGTAATTTGAATAGAATCCAGTATGAAGAATTAAACAAAACCCTGGAAAATGTAAGAAAATTTTCAACAACTATTAAAACCCCCAAAATTTTCATTCCCTCTTCAACAAACTCTCAAAAACAATAAACAATCTTGAATCTGAAATCCATATTCCAAAGATGAGCAGCCCTATTGAATTTTAACTTTTCCAGAGTTCTCAGCAGCCTCCAGCTAGAAGAGTAAAAAGGAAGAATAATGATGGCTTTAGGCAAGAGAACAAAATGCAAATACCAGTTTTTAAATTATTAAATAAGAAAACATGCCAAGTGCTTATAACTATACCTAGAACACAGTAGCACTCAATAAATGTTAGACGTTATTACAAAATCTAAAGCACTTCTTTAACTGTTAATACGAGATTATGTGCAATATACTGCATAACTGACTATGCAAACAATGAGATCTAATTCTTTAATACCACCTTGTATATCAGTGTATATAAGATTAAAGAATATTCTGTACCTTGAAAGTTTAACATAGGTCACCTAAAATATTCAGGGTTCCCTTTGGACAATATAATTTAATTACTTGTTAAATTTTGTGCACATTTATTATTTTACTGAGGTCTGAATATGTTTTGGCTATTTTCTTACTAAATTATCCACTTTGTTGAGGTTTTTAATTTATAAGAACAGAATTAATGCACAGAATTTCCTTACAATTTTCAATCTATTCTTAGCTCTATAACTCTCACCTCATTTCTAAGACTGTACATTTGTTTTCTTCTTTTTCCCAATTAGCATGCTAGAAGCTTTTCTTTCATTGGACTTTTCATAGTACCTTACCTTGAGTGTAACAATTCTACCTTTTCTGTTTACAAACTCATTAATTTCTCCATATGTTTGTTTATTCTTTTTCTTAGACTTAATTTATTGTTACTTTTCCAGCTTCTTTAATTAGATGAAGTTTATTTCTTTTCTATCTTCTTTGTATATAAAAAGAAATTAAGGCAATGACTATTTCTTTGAGTACCAGTTTAGATCATAACTTTCAAGTTTTATGTTATTATTTCTAAACAGTCTGCAAATTAAGTTTTTCTTTTAAGAAGTATTTTAAAATTTCTATATGGTTGAAAATTTTTTCCTGTCAATCTTTTGACATTAAGTTCTAAATTTTCTGTACTATGGTAAAAAAATATGGCCTGTGTAATTTCTGCATTTTACAATTAAGATCTTTATGGCTTAATAATAACATATGGTCAATTCTTATAATCTATAGCTGTTCATGTAATTTTTCACATATGCTAGTATATCTTTTATATTAAACTTATTAGTTCTATTACTCAGATCATTATATTTTTCTTTATATTTTTCTTCCTTGGTCTGACAAAGATATTAAAACCTCCTACTTTTAATTGTTTCTTACATTTCTAACTTTTTGATCTATGTGCTTTGCTTTAATGTTACTTGAGGCATAAAAGGTTCATTATAAATTTATACTGCTTATCAATACTAAATGACCTCTGGTTCTCAGTTAATACTCATTTGTCTTGAGAATTTGGCTTTGTCTGATATTAATGCTATGATCCATGATTTATTTTTGTAGGTATTTGTCTGACATAACTTTGTCTGTTATTTTAACATTTTTAACAGCTTTATTGAGATAAAATTCACATAACATACATATTAGTTTCCGGCTGCCACAAAGTATCACAAACTTGGTGGCTTACAACAATAGAAATTCCTTCTCTTAGTTTTAGTGGGCTAAATTCAAGGTTGTTGGCAGGACTGGTCTTCTGGAAGCTCTAGAAAAGAATCCATTTCCTTGTCTTGTCTAGCTACTGTCTAGCCTGTATTCCTTGGCTCCTGACCCCTTCCTTGCATCCAACCTCTTGCTTCTGCCAAAGCATCTCCTACTTCTATATCGATCTCCCTTTGTCTCCATCTTATAAAGACACTGTGATAGATTTAGGGCCTTACTGGATAATCTGGGCTAATCTCCCCACCTCACAATCCTTAATTTAATCACACCTGCCAAGTCCTTTTCGCCATATAAGGTGACATTTGAAGGTTCCAGGGATTGGACCTGGATGTCTTTGGGGGCCATTATTCAGCTTACTACACCATATAATTTGCCCATCTACAGTGTACAATTCGATCCTTTTTAGTTTATTTGTAGGCTGTGCAAGCATCATAATCTAATTTTAGAACATTTTCATCCCCCCTAAAAGAAACCTCCACACCCTTTGGCTGTTAGTCTCCATTTCTCCCTCACCCTTCTCCAATCTGGCAACCACTAAGCTACTTTCTGTCTTTACAGATTTGCCTATTCTGGATACTGCGTATAAATGGAATCATATAATATGTGGTCTTTTATAACTGGGTTCTTTAACTTAACACAATGTTTTTAAGGTTCATACATGCTGAAATATTTATCAAGACTTCATGACTTTTTATTGTTGAATAATATTACATCATATGGATAATACCACATTTTATTTTCCTATTCTCAAGTTGATAGACATCTGGGTTGTTTCTACTTTGTGGCTACTATGAAAATGCTGCAATTATAAAAATGCTATGAATATCGTGTATAAGTTTTTGTGTATAAGTTTGGCTGCTGTGACCACTGTGTGTTTAAGTCTTATTTTCAGTTCTCTTAGGAAAGCCTAGGTCATAAGATAACTCTACTTTTAACACTCTGAGAAGTTGCCAAACTGTTTTCCAATGCGGCTGCATCATTCTAGATTCCCAACAGCAACATACAAGAATTCTGATTTCCCACATCCTTACCAACACTTACAATTATCCATCTTGTTGACTACCGTCATTCCATTGTGTGTGAAGTGGACTCTCTCTGCGATTTTGATTTTAATTTCCCTAATGATTAATTATTATTAACTATTAGTGCTCAGATGCTTGCTGTCCATTTCTGTATCTTCTTTGGAAAAATACCTATTTGGATTCTAAGCCATTTTAAAATTGGCTCATTTTCTTCTTAACGATTGTTGAGTTATAAGAGGTATATCTCCGGATACAAGTTCTTTACAAGATTTATTATTTGCAAATATTTTCTCGAATTCTGTGGATTTTTTTCACTTTCTTGATGGTATTATTTGCAGCTACCTTAAACATTTCTGAGTCATTGTAAGTATATCACATGAATTGAACAGAATTGGGTTTTGATTTGGATTGTTGTTCCAATCTGAAAGAAAATCTTTGTCTTTAACAAGGGAGTTTATATTTATGGTTTATAACAGAATTAATTAGTCTCACTTATATTAATATTATTTTGTTCTATACTTTGTATTTTGTTTTTTAAATTCCTTCCCTTGTTTTCTATCTTTTGTATATGAACTTGGGTTTTTATCCTTCTTTAGTGCTTTTGAAGATGGATATGTTCTGCTTCTAATTCTAATGGTGTTTATTTTTTAGCTATATTTATGCTTTAGCCATATTTATCACATCTCAGGCAATGGAAAAATATCTGCTGCTTTTTCTCTCAGTCTAGTCTATTATATGACTGTTCTTTTATTGAGTCTGTAAATCTTTTTATATTCTATGTACGACTCACAGTTTCCTAAAACTTTCTTTTGGATTTTTCAGTGAGCAATTTTCGGAGGTATTTTTCTGAGTCTTCTAGATGAGTCTTTTTCATAGATCACATTAGGAGTATAATATTTAAATTTTTTAATACTGAATAAGAAGACATGCTTAGATTTCATGTATGTCAACAGTATGACACTAAGGGCTGCTTGTCAAGCACCATTTTGAACTAGAAGCTTCTACCATATTCTTCTAAGGAAAGGTCCTAATATTCACCCTATTCTAGGGCCTCAGGAATTTGGGGGCAACCTCAAAACAAAACTCAGAAACATTAAGAAAGAATAACAATGTTTGTATATTTGTAGGAAAAAAAAAAAACAATGCAACTAACAAAATCTCAAGTAATTACTAATTCTGAACTATTTAACTGTCTACATTCAATATGGGAGCAATCTAATAAATGTCATTTTAACTTAATAAATTTTATGCTAATAAAAACAAAATGCAATTTAAATCTGGACAGATCATTATTCTACTAATGATTCAAAGTATTTTTGGCCAAAGAGTAGTCCATGTAGCATTAAGTATGCAAGGGTAAATAATAGTTTTATAAAGTTAGCTATGGATAGGTATACAATCAAAATTGAAGCAAAGTGTTAAATCGAATCTTTGAATAAATCTAAGTGATTTTAAATATGCAACTCAAATATCAGTGATGAATAAAATTCTCCCAGCTTTGCCTTATGAAGTTTACATTTCGGAATTATCTACCATTTTGTTTCTGACATAAATCAGCAATTGCTTACAAAATACTCCATTGGTTTCTTAACAAACACAACATCATTTTTTCCTATTACATCTGGTAAGGTAAAATACCTTGTTATAGGAATTGGAAACAGAAATGATCCTTTTTATTCTGAGCTGCATAAAGTAGTCTAAAAACAGGAGCATTTGAGATCTTGCTTCCAAGCAACTGTCATCGGTTTGGCTAAAATAAGCTCTTATAAAAAAATAAAATAAAGTAGTTTGAAAACCCCGCTACCCTGGATAAGGAGGACAGAAGCAATGACCATCACGCTAGACAGAGGATCACGAGAATGTTAACAACAACTGACAGAAATCAAAAGGTATCTGAGAACACAGCAGTTTTCTTACCACATTCTCCAAAGGTGCTGCACCAAACACTTTAAAAACAGGGTTGGGTTTGGAGGGTGAGATACAGAGGACAATAGCTTGCTGTCCCACTCGAGTAGTATATTCATCTAATGTGGCTCGAAGTTTCCTGAATCAGAATGAAAAAAGAATAAAATCGGTTAAAAAAGATAAAAATTACAGTGACACAGACATAAAATTTACTTTGACCTGAGACAATTTATGATGATTAGATACATTTTCTTTAACCTGAATGTGGAAGAGAGAGTGTGAGGTTTGATATCCCATTCAGTAAAGTATGTTGTCCCAAAGACCAATGACCAACCCACTGACATGAGGGTCTGTTACAGGTGTACCTCAGGACATGGCCATGACACAACGCTAAACATGGCAAGTATCATCTTCCTAATCTTTGCAACACCAAAGGGATTTTCGTTGAGTGCTACTAATAATGATAAAGATTACTGCTGAGATTCCTCTTATACTTTATTATATCATCTCCATGTTTAATGAAGGGGGCTTAAATGAACTGCTTCTAATTTCTTTGATTGATATGGTCATCATTTGTCTCACTGACATGACTTTATACAAAAATACTACTTCAAAAATGTTGTCATTTCAAGATTTTCATTGTGATATAAACACTAATTCTGCCCTGCAGTATTTTACAAATGAGGATACAAATATATCAACACTGGATGAAACCTTTTCCTCTGTTCTTTTCCTAAATAATCATGGGAGATTATTTTAAAGTACTACATTCCATATCTTCTGAGAACATAGTCTACCCTTTCAAGGTACTGGTGAGTCATGCCAATTCAAATGAAGCAAAGCCAACACATTTAAAGTTTTCCATCTTTCTCCAAAAGCACGTACTGTTGTATCTATGTCCTTTACAGCAAATATATTCCTATATGTAATACATTCTAATTCCTCTTGCTTATACTACCATTAAAAGAAATGAGAAGAACTGCTTGTCTAGTGATATATAACCTCTTTATCTGCTGAAAGCTACTGTTAAATACTGTTTGGATTTTTCTTTCAGTTTCTTATAATCTTCTTATGTTCTTAATCTAGACCATATTTTCTAGATTTTGTCACATACCATTTACATGGACTGGCACTCCATTTGGAATCAACAGTCCAATAAATATCTAGAAAATCTGAATATAGTTTTAAAACATTATAAGAAAAATTTCTGAAACGTTTTATAGACGAAATTTCTTATCATATATGAATACATGTTGTGCAACTTGTCAAAATATTAACTCCTCTATGTACCACACTTACATATTAATCTTTCTTTGCAGCCTACAAACTCTTCAGAAAAAATAAAAACAAGAAAAGGACCACATACAAAACAAGAAATACGGTGGCATTCCTTGAAGGAATGGTCTGTATTATATTCACTGTCTCTAATTCCTCTCTTCCCATTTTCTTGAAGACACTCTAATCCTTTCATCCTTATCACTCCTTTGAAAATACTATTATCAAGTTTTAACCACGATCTCCATGTTGCTAAATCTAGTGATCCATTGGCATCTTGTTCAACCTGCCAGCAACATTTGACAATGCTGATCACACGCCCTCTTTCTTGAAACACTTTTTACACATGATTTCCAGGATACCACTTCTCTTGGTTTTCCTCCTGATTCACTGGTCACTTCTTAGACTCTTTTCTAGTTCCTTTCATCTCTCCAATCTCTAAAGCTCTTCCCTTGGACATCAACATAGTTGCCCCTTCCCTTACTCAGGTCTCCATTCAAAGATTGCCTTATCAAAGAGGATTTCCCAGGCCTCAGTCCACACTCACTCCCCAGGTGATCTCTTCCAGTCTCATAGTTTTAAATACTACTTATATGCTTATATCTTCTGCTAAGTCTCTCCTTTGAATTCCAGAATAATATGTCCAACTGTACAATCGCTTATTATTTACCACTACCTCATGGTTAGGAAATATCACACTTAACATGTCCAAAACCAAATTCCTGATTCTGCCCTACCCTCACTCCTATATCTGCTCCTCTTCCAATAAGTATCATCTCAATCCTTCCATTAATCAGACCAATAACCTTAAGGTCATCCTTCAGTCCTTTTTATCTCATACCCCACATCCAATCCATCAATGAATCATGCTGGATCTGACTTCTGAAAAACATCCAAAATCTGACCACCTCTTACCACCTTTGCTGCTACTACACTGGTTTTAAGACACGATTATTTCTGGCCTAGATTACTATAATAACCTAACTTGTCTCCCTGCTTCCATTCTTGTACTCTCAGAGTCTATTCTCAATACAGTAACCTGAGTGATCCCTTTCAAATGTAAATCAGACCATATCATTGCTTTGGTCAACAGCCTTCATTGATTTCCCACTTCACTCAGAGTAAGAGTCAAAGCTCTTATACTGAACCAAAAGACCCCATGATGTGGCTCTCCACTGCCACTCTAACCACATTGCCTCTCAGTCTCTCCCTAGCTATTCCTCAAACGTGACTACCATAGCTATTCCTTAAACGTGCCTACCATATTCCTTTCCACTTCAAACCTTTTCCTCTTGCTGTTCCCTATTTCCCTTGGGGAAATGCTCTTCCCCTAGACATCCACACAGTTGCCCCTTCCCTTACTTCAGGTCTCTGTTCAAAGACTGCCTTATCAAAAAGGATCTCCCCAGACCATACATATTTTTAAAAAGTGGGGGGTGAGGGTGGGGGTGGAGAATGACTCTAATCTCCATAAACCCCCTATTTCTATTTTCCTTACTCCACTTTTTTTTTCCATAGCGCCTATCATCATCTGACATATTACCTGTTTGTTTATTTTCTTTTCCCCTTCTCTAGAATATAAGCTTGTTAGGGGAATTTGTTTTATTCACTGTTATATCCCCAAGGCCTAGAACAATGCCTGGCACATAGGAGGCATATAAATTATCCTTGAATTAATTTATATGATATATAATCTGTTAATCATATTTTTAGTTGCACGTATTTAATTTTATAAGAGTACTCTAAAGTCTAATTCTGTCATAAAGAGATCTAACTTGGTATCCTCGGTGAACCTAATAATGTGTGTTCGAACTCTGTCATCCAAACTGAAATATTTGGGAAACAGCAACAATATGAATAAGGAAGCCCTCACCGAAGCAAACGTGTTTGCTGTCTCTTCCGGATAGATGGATTAGACTCAAACACATGAGGCCGTTTCCGCTTCTTTCCTGTTGCCACAGCAGCAGCAGCAGCCATTCCTACAGGACCTGAAATAATAATGCGTGTGCTGAGATTAGGCAGAGCCTGTTAACTGTACAAGACAGGATACAATTAAAGGTACGAAAAAGGTTATATTTATTTCCTAATATGTTATCAATAAATATAGAGTATTCCTGATATTACCAATATATTTCATTCATTGTTGTTCAACATGAATCATATTTTAATTTATCAATAAAACTTACAATAAATCATTAAAAAAAGTGAATGATTTACACCTCCTCACTACATACCAGCTTGAATTTACATGTTTTTTGTTTTGTTTTGCTGTCATGCCCATAGTGTTAAGGCAATAGTCTCAGAGGTGCTAGATGAAATTGCAGCATTGAGAGGAAGAGCTTGCACCTGCCCCCAAAACTACAGATTTCAAATTTCATTTCCATCCCTATGTCCCTTTTTCCATTACCCCAAGACACAGCCAAGTTAAGGAAGTCAGAGATAATCACCCATACTTGGAACTCCAATAACACCTATAAGAGGACTTTCTGGAAAAATAGCATCTTAGTTAAAACTTTTTCTTGTATATCAGAAAATTTTGCCCCAAATGGAGTTGCTGACAACAAGGTTGAGTTGATGAAAACATTCTGGCAGAAAAGAGATGGCAACTGTCCCACTCTACGGAAAAAATGATAATAAAAGTTGGTCGCCTTATCCTGAAACTAATGACTAAAATAAAGAGTAGGCCCTAAGGAACTACTGGAGTCTTTGATTTGTGGAATCTCAACATATCAAGGACATTCCTTTTTCTTTTTTTAAACTGATGATCCACCTTTATCCCTCTTTATGAATCCTGTAAATGACTTAAATTAAAATTAAGTTTAATTGCTCACATTTATACTGGCATATATGTTCTATATGTTCTAAGTGGCTCAATTAAAATAAGGCTCCCTGAAAATCTTGACGAACTTTTCTACATGTTGTTTAGAAGTCTAATCACTATGACTTAAATAAACCCTTCTAAAGAGCCCCACGGCAAGTCAAAAAATTAATTAATACTTTTTACCTTCCTTTCCATCATAAACAGCTGAGAGAGGAAAAAGTCTTGTGCTGCACTTTTTCCAACATTTTATTTTTTTTCAATTGTAGTAAGAACACTTAATATGAGTTTTAAGTGTGTGATACAGAACTGTTAACTATAGCAGATCTCTAGAATTTATTCATCTTGCACAACTGAAACTGTATACCTGTCGAACAGCAGCTCTGTATTTCCACTCCCCAGCCCTGGCAACCATCATTCTACTGTCTGCTTTTATGAGTTTGACTTGTTTAGATATCTTATATAAGTGGAATCACTTAGTATCATGTCCTCAAGTTTCATCCATGTTGTCACATATGGCAAGATTCCCTTCTTTTTTAAAGAGCTGAATAATATACCATTGTATATGTACATACCACATTTTCTTTATCCATTCAACTGTCAGTGAACTTTTAGGTTATTTCCACATCTTGGCTATTGTGAATAATGCTGCAATAAACATGAGAGTGCAAATATCTCTACAAGATCCTGATTTCAATTGTTTAGAATAAATACCCAGAGGTGGAACTGCTGGATCATATGACAAATTAAATTAAAATTAAAACAATGTGAAACTGAATGTAAGATAGACAACTAAACCAATACAACTGAATTAAGAGTTCACAAACACTCTCCTGTGGCAGAAGACAGAGGTAGGTAAACGGATAGACTATTAAAAGTATGGTGCTGAAACAACTGACTGTATGAAAAGATAATGAAACTAGATCCCTACATCATACCATACACGAAAATAAATTCCAGGTAGATTAAACACCTAGATGTAAAATAGCAACATCAATAAAACAAAAACAAAAACAAAAACAAAAACCTCTACCTCGAACTATTGGAGAGTATTTATAAACTCATTGTTAAGAATCCCTAAACAAGAGTTCAGGTCAAGATGGCAGAGTAGGTAAATGCTGTGCTCGCCTCCTCCCACAACACAACAAAATTATAACTAAACTACAGAACAACCATCACTGGGAGTCACCTGAAGTCTAGCTGAACAGAAGTCCTACAACTGGGAACATACAGAGGAGGACATCTCAAGACTAGTAGGAGGGGCGGAGATGCCAAATGGGATGGTGTCACACCCACCTGTGGCGGTTGAGAATTGGGAGGGATATCTTGGCTGTGAAGCTCCCCCGAGAGAAGCAAGTGGTCCTAGCCCCAAACTGGGCTCCCCAGCCCAGGGTTCTAGTGCTGGGAAGAAAAGTTCCCACAACTTCTGGCTGTGAAAACCAGTGAAGATTGTGGCTGAGTGAGAGAGAGGGCAGCTGAAGTTGTAGACATTCCTCTTAAGGGGCCTGCATGCAGACTTACTCACTGACAGACTCACTTGCTGGGTCAGCAGCTCAAAAAGCACCAGTGACATGCAGGGAGGAACTGGGTTGCCTGGATTCAGGGTGAAGGCTGAAAGGAAGCTTTCTCCCAGACAGAAGTACAAGCAGAAGCCATTGTCTGTTGAGCCTTCCCCCCTCCCAGCTTCTAGATTCAGATGGCTGCCATATTTGAGTCTCCGTCAACCTGGCTAACACAGGATGTCCCCACCCAAGTGATTCCCTGAGACTCTGCCCCTCCCAACAGGTGGGCCCATCCAAGCCACTTCCAGTGGTTTTTCCATACAAATGGCCTACCTTGTCTCATGCCACATACTTTCCTAAAGTCTCTCATAGGTTCACAAAACCCAAACAAGCAGCATCTGGACTCAATGTGCCCCCATATCTCTTGCTGAGCAGCCTCAAGCCTGGCACTAGCAGCAGCCGGCCTTGGTTCTCAACCTTGCTTCTTAAGGAACCTCAGAGCCTAGCACAGGAGGTAGCCATCTGCAGATTGCTTGGTGACTCTTGCCAGGTGGCCCTGGGTAGGGAACAGGCTATAGCTGAACATGGCCTGCAGCAGAGCTCCTCCCAGGAGGAAAGGCGAGCCCTGTGGCTGGCTTCTGACCGAGCTGGATCACCACATGGGGCTGCATCAGAGGACAACACACCAAAGGACAGACGGGCAGGCACCAGAGCCCTGCTAAAGCAAATCTTGCTCCATAGAGTCAGTTCCTCACTGGCCAGTCCTCACAATCAGCCTGAGGGTCAATCCCTCCCACTGACATACCATCAGCAACCAAAGCTCAACTACAACAGGAGGGCACACACAACCCATAAAAAAGACACACTTAGAGTACCTGGCTCAGATGACCAAGGAAGACTGCGCCACTGAGCCCCACAGGACACCTACTACATAAGGCCACTCCACTAAGACTGGGAGACATATCAGCCCTACCTAATACACAGAAACAAACACAGGGAGGCAACCAAAATGGGGAGACAAAGAAACATGTCCCAAATGAATGAACAGAACAAAGCTCCAGAAACAGAACCAAATAAGACAGAGACGGGCAATCTACCAGATGCAGAGTTTGAAACACTGGTTATAAGGATGCTCAATAAACTTAGGGGATGAGTAGATAAAGTCAGTGAGAACTTTAACAAAGAGATAGGAAACATAAAAATAGAGATAGGAAACTTAAAATTGGAGATAGAAAACATGAAAAAGAACTAGTCAGAAATGAAGAATACAATAGAAGGAGTCAATAGTAGAAATGAAGCAGAGGATCAAATCAGCAATTTAGAAAATAAGTTAGCAGAAAACACCCAATCAGAATAGCCAGAAGAAAAAAATGATCCAGAAAAAAAAGGGCCTCTGGAACAACATCGAGCACATCAACATTTGCATTATGGGGGTACCAGAAGAAGAGAGAGAGCGAGGAATTGAAAATCTATTTAAAGAAATAATGACAGAAAACTTCCCTCACCTGGTGAAAGAAACAGATATAAAAGCCCAGGAAGCTCAGAGTCCCCAAAAAGATGAACCCAAAGAGGCCCACAGCAAGACACATCATAATTAAAATGGTAAAGGTTAAAGACAAAGAGAGAATCTTAAAAGCAGCAAGAGAAAAGGAATTAGTTACCTACAAGGGAGCTCCCATAAGACTGTCAGTTGATTTCTCAACAGAAACTTTGCAGGCTGAAAAGGATTGGCATGAAATATTTAAAGTGATGAAAAGCAAGAACTTACCACCAAGATCACCCAGCAAAGCTATCGTTTAGAATTCATGGACCGATAAAGAGCTTCCCAGACAAGAATAAGATAAGTAGTTCACCACCACCAAACTAGTTTTAAGATAGAAGGAAAAAGAGATGAAAAATATGAATTGTAAAATGGCAATAAGTATATATCAACAATTATTTTAAATGTAAATGGATTAAATGTTCCAATCAAAAGAGTGACTGAATGGATGAGAAAACAAGACCCTCACCTATACTGCCTACAAAAGACTCATCTCAAATCGAAAGAAATACCAGAGTGAAAGTAAAGGGATGGAAGAGATATTTCATCAAAATGAAAAACAAAGAAATAAATATAAGATGAAAAAAAAATGAAAACAAACAAAACAAACAATATTTATACCAGACAAAATAAACTTTAAAACAAAGGTTATGACAGGAGACAAAGGACCCAGTAATCTCACTTCTGGGTATTTATCTGGAGAAATCCAAAACACTACTTCAAAGGGACATGTGAATCTACATATTCATTGCAGCATTATTTACAATAGCCAAAATATGGAGGCATCAATAGTGTTCATCAATGGATGAATGGTTAAAGAACTGGTACATATACAATGGAACATTACTAAACCATAAAAAAAGAAATGGAGTCTTGCCATCCACAACAACACAGATGGGCCCTGGAGGTATTGTGCTTAGTACTGTAAGACAAAGAAAGACAGATGGCATGTAATTTCACTTACATGTGGAATCTAAAGAACAAAATAAATAGACAAACAAAACAGAAACAAACTCATGGATACAGAGAACATTTTGATAGTTGCCAGATGGGAGGGGGGTTAGAGGAGTGGGTAAAAAAGGGGAAGGAATTAAGTACAATTTGGTAGTTACGTACTAGATTTATTGGGGTGAACATTTCATAAGTTATATAAATGTCTAATCATTATGTTATATGCCTGAAACTAATACGATGTTGTATCCCAACTGTAATTAAAATAAAAAATTATTATTAAAAAAAAATCTCTTAAGATGCCAAAAGGATAAAGGTAAAAGACTGATAAATTTCACAATAATATAAATCAAAACCTTTGTGAACAAAAGGAAATAAAATATTGGGGGAGGAAGTGGGCAACAAACTGGGAGAAGATAACTGTATACATATTACCAAGAAAGGAATTAAAAATATATCAATAACTCTTAAAAGTCAATAAGAAAAAGACATGCAGTTGGAAAATGAACAAAAGTATAAACAAGAAATATGCAAAAGAAAAATAAGTAGTTAATAAAGTTCTGAAATGGTGCTCTATCTTATCTTCCTAAACTGGCCAAGAGCTCTAGTAAGCAGAACAAAGCAAATTAAACCAAGAGTAAAATATTATTTCATACTCATCAGACTGGCAAAAAAAGAAACAAAAAACGATCAACAATACCAAATGTGGTGAGGATAAGAAACAACAGGCACTCTAGTACAGTGGGAATGTAAATTAATGCAACAATTTGGAAAGGCATTTGGAATATCTGGTAAAGTTGAAAATGTTCCTATCTTTGCCTTTCGTTTCCCACCAAGTAAACCTTCAAGCAGCATATTTTAAAGGGCAGGCTTCTGGCCCTTTGGTGGCTCATGAGTAGTTTTGCTTTTTGTTTGTTTAAATAAAATGAAATAAAGTAAAAGAGACTGGAACATATCAGAGAATGCATCATTTGTAGTAGAGGTAAGTTATTATACTTCATGAGAAAGTGTCATTTCTGTTATACATGCATGTCTATATTCTAGATCACAATGTAAAATGTATTACTGTGGGATACTGTCAAAAGAATTTGAAAACTAACATCAAGAGGAACTTTCACAATATGCACAAGAAAACATGTAAGAAAACAAGTCCTCTCCTAATCTTAACACTATGACAATGCAGCAAAACTGCCTCAAAAGCATCTTCCTTCCCAGGAAAGAAGTTGACTTGGATTCATTATGTTAGGATGCCCTCTTCTGGGAAGTATAAAAATTTCAAAAATACATTTTACAAATACTTAATATGTGTTTTGCCATTGTCTTATTTTTACATTCACCATTCCAGAAATACATAGCAACTGACAGTAATAAGGTTATTCTTCATTACATCTGTCTTCCTCCACTTAAATACAGCATATACCAGAAGGATGTAGTTTTTTGGCCATTCCTGATCATTGATTTCCTGCCCAGCTTTTCCAAAGTATCTTCTAAGATAGATACAATATTAGATCCACACAGGCCTGGTTTACATGGAATCTTCCACTTAATACTAAATGTACAATGTAAATAGTAAAGAGAAAGGTACAAAATATAGCTCAGCTTTAAGTCATTTAGTGGCCCAGAAAATCTCAAAATGTTAAATTGGATTAAGATGATCCAGGATTGCTAGTGCCCTCAGGCATCTGGCAGAAGCAAACAAAAACCCTCTCTAAAGGATGATGATATTCTAGACCCCAAATTATTTCTAAAAATAATCTTTCAAAAGCAGTATCCAGCATTCATTCAATATAACCAATACATGAAGAGAAAAAACAACTCGAACAAGAACAAGCACTAACAACATATAACAGAAAAGAACCACAAGCACTTCAGAGAGTAGAATTACCAAATGGATTGTAAAATCATAATGCTTACTTTACTCATGGAGATTAAAATTTTTTCCTACTATAACTGAAAACAGTAATAGTACAAATTTGGAAGAAAAAAAACACACTAGAAATTCAAAACTAGAAAACAAAATAAAATAATTAGCTATTACTAAAATCAGTAACTTAAGAGAGATTTAAAAGCACCTTAGACACAGCTAAAGAGAAAACTTAAACTTAGAAGGAACTACTTAGAATTAAGCATAAACGGACAAAAGCATGGTAATACAGAATAGAGGGTAAGAGACATAAAAGACTCAGTAAGGAAGACAACGTATTTAAGTATAGTCATTGAAGGAAAAGAGATGGAATGGAGCAGAAGCAAAACTGAAGTAAAATCTAGTGGCTAAGATTTTCCAGAATTCATGAAAGGCATCAATCCAGATTCATGATGTTCAAAGAATTGCAAACAAAATAAATGAGAAGAATAGTGAGAGCCAGATATATCACAAAAACTAAAGACAAAGAAAATCATAAAAGCAGTTGGAGAAGGGGCCTGTATAAGGGATAACTTTCAAAGGAACAGCTGTTAGAAATAGCTGAATTCTCAAAAGCAAGCATGGAAACCAGAAGACGGTGGAAGAGCATCTTCATTATGAAGAAAGAAAATAACTGGCAACTAGAATTCCATAGCCAGTGAGAATATTCTTCAATATTGAAGGTTAAATAACAACATTCTCAGACAAGCGAGAGCTGAGAGACTGCTACTAGCAGATCCATGCTGAAGGAAATACTAAATGGCATCTTTAGGCAGAAGAAAAATTTTCAGAGACAAGTTGTATAAAACAAAAATAATGTCTTATAGGGCTTAAAATATACAAAGAATTAATGCACAGGACAACAAAAGCAGGTCAGGGTTAGAAGAATAAAATTCAAGTGCTCTAAGAAACTTGCATTATCCCTAAAGAGGACAAAAGTAGCTTCCAGTCAAGATGATGGAGTAGGTAAACACTGTGCTCTCTTCCTCCTACAACCATCTCAAAATTATAACTAAATTATAGAACCATACTGAGAATCACCTGAAATCTAGCTGAACGGAAGTCCTATAACTAAGGATATGTAGAAAAAGCCACACTGAGACTGACAGGACAGGCAGAGACGCAGAACAGGCTGCTCTCACACTCACATGTGGTAGTTGAGAACTAGGAGGGCTAGGGAGTTCCCTTCTGAAGAGCAAGGGGTCCCACCCAATCTGACACACAAGGCTCCCCAGTGCAGGGTTCCAGTGCAGGGAGAGAAGTCCCTATAACCTCTGGCTGTGAAAACCAATGGAGATTCTGGCTGAGTGAGAGAAGGCTGCCAGATGTTCCTCATTGATATAAACTCATTTACTTTGAGCTTCAGTTCTGGGACAGCAGCTTAAAAGGCGCTAGGGACATCTGGAGAAGAATGGAATTATCTGGCTTCAGGATAAGGGCTGGAAAAGTAGCTTTCTCCAAGGCAGAAGTGATAGCAGAAGCTACTGTCCCTTTGTTGAGCCCTCTACCTGCCACAGGCAGGGGCCATATCTGAGTCTCCCTTAACCTAGCTAACTATGTATGGTGTCAGACGGGTACTAGATTTATTGGGGTAATCACTTTGTACATTATATAAGTGTCTAATCACTACGTCGCACACCTGAACTAATATATTGTATGTTAACCATAATTGAAAAATTATTTTTTAAAAAAGAGGACAAAAGTACCAATTACATATTAATTTGAAATAATTAAAAGATGTATATTATAATTTCTAGGGATACGACTAATAGTGAGTATATTAACTTCCAAACTAACAACAACAACAAAAACCACAACTTTTCAATCACTCAAAAAGGAAACATGAAGGAAAAGTAAATACCGAACAAGAGGGATAAAGAAAAAACATATAGTAAACATGATAAACTCAAACCTAAATATATCAGTGATTACATTGAATGTAAGTGGACTAAATGCTTCAGTTAAAAGTCAAAAGATTGTTAGAATGGGTGAAAAAACCAAACCAAAGTCATATAATTAATAGTATTTGATTCTAGAACTTAAGTCCCAGTATAATACAGGCACAAGTTGCAAATGCAAGGCTTAAAACAAAATCATGAAGATAAATATAAGAGTGCCTGCCTGCATCCTAGGTTCTGTCAAGTATGTGTGGTACCAAGAGCTTCCAATTCAAGCAACATTACCTGCAGCAGCCAGATGGGCTGTTACCTCATCAGCTGCTGTGGAGTTGAGTATGTCTGAATCATCGTAAGAGGTGTCCTCTGGAGAAGAAGGTGAGTCTTCATCAGCACTCAGCATACTGTGTTCCGGGTAGGTGGCCACATGGACCTGCTGTACTTGTTGGGCCACTGCATGGGCTTCAATGGTAGCCATGTGTTCGGTTTGGGTCACTCCGTGTTCCTCCATGAAGATCTACTGTCAGAAAAAAGGTAATGAACAGAATTAAGTGTGTAATGTAAGACAATGCTTAAACTGAGAGATTTCCTTAAAGAGTAGATTTCACTATATCTACTCTTTCACCACACCAAGTCACAGGAAATGGGAATCACCATTCAAATATGACCTAAACATGGTAGAATATTTTCCTTATATAAAACCTGATAGAAATTCACTGTTCTAATTTTATGCCTCATGTCACAAAATAAATACCCTTGATATTACATATAACAATAAAAAGATATTTAAAAGATCCTAGTGACATGGCATTTGACACTGCAGACATTAAAACTTAGTAAAAGAAATATTTAACATATTTCTTTGTAATTTTTTTCCAAAAATTCAACTACTCAAATTGGTTTTTCTGCTTATAAAACTGCACTTCTTGTAAACCCTAAAATGATGCAGTAATTCAAAAGTAGTAAGATGAAGGTCAACTCTTCTACTACTCTTCTACAGAGAGATGCGTTATCCTTAAAGTTTTGAAGCATACATATGTGATTTAAAATAAAGATTCATATTATACATATTATTCTATAGGTTGCTTTTTTCATATTATAATATATCTGAAAATTTGACATGCTGAAACACACAGATCTAACAGATATTTCTAAATAGCTACAGACCATTGTTATGGATGTGCAATAATTATGCAATCAATCACCTACTGATACATAGTGAGGCTGCTTCCAAAGTTTTGCTATTATAAACATCAGTGCAGTAAACATCCCTGTATATAAAACTTTGCATACTGGTTCCTCAAAAATCTTTTAAAAAATGACCACTTCTTGGTTTATATTATTTCTATGTAGCTGCCCAATTTTTAACTTTTCCGAGACTCCTGATTTCTGCTTTATATTTTTATGCTATTTCCAATTGGGGTAGGGGGCGGCTTTAACGTTTAATTATCTCTTTTCACTCTCATACCATGATACATATCATCATAACTTATCCTTCTAACTCAGTGATTCTTAACTTTGAGACTACTTGGTTACTTCAAGGAGTATTCTGTATTTTAAAATAAAATTCATTTTAATTACAAGAAAACCCCAGGATGCGACATATCCAAAATATTAGTAATCTAATAAACAGCTATCATTTGAACCTTCTTTTCTATATTTTCTTTTCTGCTTGAAGTCATCTCCCAGTCCTGTAGCTCTATGTGGCATAAATACCTTCATGAATAAACTCACAGCCTTGTTTCTTAAAATGGAGTTTTTGAAGAGGTACCTGGTACAATGGTATGTATTTAATGGAGAGAGAGGGGAAAATATAAAGAAAACATAGTAAAATGCTAACATTTGATAAATCTGGGTAATAAGAGTTCTTTTTTAAAAAATATTTTTATTTTTCAATTATAGTTGACATACAATGCTATATTAGTTTCAAGTGTACAACATAGTGATTAGACATCTATATAACTCACAAAGTGATGACCCTAATAAATCTAGTACCCATCTGACATCATACATAGTTATTACAATATTATTGACTACATTCCTTTTGTTATCCTTTACATCTCCATGTCTATTCTGCAACTATTTTGTACTTCTTAATCCCTTCTCCCTTTTTCACCTACCCCCCAAATCCCCTCCCATCTGGTAACATTCAAAATGTTCTCTGTATCTATGAGTTTGTGTCTGGTTTTATTGCTTGCTTATTTTGTTCTTTGGATTCCACATGTATGTGTTCTTTATAATATTCTTGCAACTTTTCTAAAAGTCTGAAATTGTCAAAATAAAAGAAAAAAATTGTAAAGAGAGGTACCTAATAAGGTTTCTTTCATATCCTGTGTTTGGAGTGTTTCAGAATATTCACGGGAATACAGCCTACCTCCCAGATCTGTACGCATCTATCTAAAATGCAATTTAACATACTATTTAAGACACACAATTAAACATATAAGAGAAAGATGGCATTAAAATACTATTTTTCCACTCATTTCACTGTTCTTCTAGTCTTAAGGGCATTTCAGAATTCTGGGTACTTCAAAATCATTTTTAAATGATTTGAGATTAGATGGCATCTAACTGCTTTTTAAAGAGATTTGTACGCTATGCACTTGGCATAATGGATTTCAATTCCTCTCTCCAGAATGCGGTTTACAGCATAAATCAATAGGGCTGTCTGCTTTACAGGCTTGTCACTTCTGTCCAGTGCCTCATCTCTTTATACCTCTCTCCCTATCCCATCCTTCAGCCTCTCTAACCATTTTTATTCAGCATACTCTGTAAAAAGCAAAAGCAAAGACATTTCAGATTTCTTTAAACCAGAGTGGGACACTTGTAAATGATGTTTTCGATGTTTTTTAAAAAATAATATGTAAAATACGTTGTCCGAAACCAGATATGACTGGCATACACCTACTGCTGGAGATCATCATGCCCCACCCTCCCCAAGCCATTTTAGTGATGTTTTTTAGCTTTCATCCATGAGGAGTCACATTCTCCAAATAGCAAAACTGATAAGAACTGCTAATAGATGAAAATATATTAGATAATATGAATTTTCAAAAACAGCACAGATTATTATCAGATATCCAGAACTCCTGAATAAGTTATTTAACCTCTAAGCCTCAATTTCAACATTTTTTTAATAGAAAAAAAAAAATATATATATAGTTCCTATCCTCAAAAGGATATGAGGCTATGGGGGCAGGGCCGGGGGAAGGATATGAAGATTAAATGAGGTCATCAGATAAAGTGAGGAACAGTGCCTGGCACATAAATGCTCAATAGTAATTTGATGATGATGCCAGAATTCCTATACCTTTACAATTCTATCCTTGACTCATTATCTGAATAGTCTCATAAGAACCAGGCCTCAATTTCTTAACCTTTAAATTAGACATCTATCTCCAACATGGTTTTTCTAATTGGACAAAAAAGGTTTCGAGTCAGGCATCTAAAAGGCCCTTCTGTTTCTTTCTGATTTAAAAAAAAATTTATTGGCGTAACATTGGTTAATAACAGTATATAAGTTTCAGGTGTGCAACTTCATAATACGACATCGGTATATTCCATTCTGTGCTCACCACCCAAAATCTCATCTCCTTCCATTACTATATTTGACCTCCTTTACCCTCTTCATCCTCCCCCCACCCACTTTCCCCTCTGGTAACCACCATACTGTTGCCTGTGTCTACGATTTTTTTGTTTGTTCATTTGTTGCTTTTTGTTTTTCATCCCACACGAGGAAATCATACAGTTCTTGTCCTTCTCCATCCGACTTATTTCACTTAGCATGATACCCTCCAGATCCATCAATGTTATTGCAAATGGCAATATTTCGTCTTTTTATGGCTGAGTACTATTCCATTGCATATACGTACCACATCGTTATTCATTCATCAAAGGACGAGTAGATTGTTTCCATGTCTTAGTAAAGCCCTTATTTATTTTATTAACTCCCTACAACTGAGACACTGTTCTCCTAGATATAAAACCAGGAAACTACAGGGAACCAATGTCTCTAGCATCATTTCATGACAATACACAAAATGGAGATCCAGCAGATAGACCTCACAGTGGTTCCTCTGAACTAATGTGAAAAGCAAGATGAAAGCACTGGCATCATATAATGAATGACCGGTGACACCAAATATGACATCCAATTAAAAAGGTATATCTATCATCTGAAACTAGTGATGTTCAATAGATTAGTCAACACTCCATTTTTTTAAAAATCATTCTCCAAAATAATAACATAACATGGTAACAATTTTATTAAAGCCTCCTTCTTAGCCTGGATCATCACCTAAAAATACAACACGTACCTTATCTATAAGTCCTTCTTTATTCTATAAACTAAAAAGGGTTGGGAGTGGGGGTAGATTTGGGACAGAGTAGTTTTTACTTTTGCCATTCCTGGCCAGGAATAGGTGGAACTGAAAAATAATGGAAAAGGGCACACAGAAAAAGACAAATTTTGTCTCAGAGCATCCTGGTAGTTGTAGTACATAATATCAAGGGAGCTACTGAATTTGAATGAAAAGTCAAAGAGAGTTAAATTTAGTCTAATCCACTTGTCATGGATGAGATTAAGTGTAGACTACTCTAAAAATCAAAGTAGGAAAAAGAGTTGGCCAGGAAATCTAATCAAGGTATAAATAAATATAAAAGAAAGCACTAGTCTAATCAATATCATTATCATATCAAAAGAAAAGCTACAAGACCTGCCTAAGGGAAAGTCTCAGAGCAAGACTATCTAAGGTCCCAAACAGGGGCAGAAAAAAGCAAGAGGCTCAATTTATATTCCTGAGTTGTCCAGAATCTAAACTCCATAACCAGGACAAAAATTTCACTCAGCAGAAAAGCCTTTCTCAAAAAAGCCTAAAGTCAACAATCAGATTTGATTCTTGGAGTGTGTAGAGTAATGGATCAAAATCACACCACGACTGGAAAAATAAAAAACAACTGCACAAGAAAGTCAAAGTGAAAATAGAAGCAAATAAAAGGTGGTTTAATTCTGAGTAATAAATGGTACTTAAGAAACCATTTGACCTTCTCTTTCAAATAGCCCAAGGTGATATTGGACTTGCAGAGAAAAAAGTATCCTCTCACACCACTGGGTTCTAGGCTGGAGGGAGGAAGAGAATGAAACCATAGTCATGTATGCAGTCTACTGATTTCCATTTCAGACACCAACTACAGATTAAAAATACAGAAAATATAATGTAATACAAATCAGAATGTTAAGGTTATGAACCATGACAATGTAAAAGAAAAGATAAGGCTGAGAGAAGTGAGGAGGCAAGAGAGAGGCTGAGAAGTGAGTGGAGGATGACTGGCTAGCAGCACTATTATTCCATCCTTATACCTGGAGGGAGTCCAAAGATACTATTAAGAACAGATGGAAGAACTTAGTATGACAAGGTAACTATCAAAAAATAGAGAGGAAAGGAAGAGAATACTTGTGAAGCGATTCTTACACACAAGAAGTCAAAAATGCCCAAGTTTGATAAATTAGAAAAAGTGGTATAGACATATTCAGTTATAGAGGTTATTATTTGATTATACTAAAAACAAAATAGTTTAACTATAAAACAAAAACAGTTAAAGTGTCTCTAAAAAGTGGGACTAAGGATAGGGGAAGAGTGTGGCAAAGGGCCATTGATTTTTACTTTAAGTCCTTCTATTTGATCTTTTATCATGAATGTATTACTTTGACTTTTAACAAAATAAACTTTAAAACTATAATACAGCTTTCTTTCCAAATTGAACCTTTTGAAACTTAAAATTAATGACATGCTAGAGCAAATTATCACTAGGAAAAATTAAGTCCCTTTCTTATGCTAAGAACCAAAAGAATATAGCATATTTCAAGTTTATAAATAGTCTTGCCTTGAGTATGATTAACTTATTAATCTGGAGCATCTGAAACTAACAAAATTTTTTATAATCGCAATCACATATTTTTCATTTCGCTATGTTGATAAAATTCGTAAATATTCATTCATACTAATAGTAGCCCAATAATCCAGTTAATAATGATGCTTTTACATAATGTGACATAATGACTTAGATGAGTGGATGGTTTTGTGAAAACAATATTGCAAGCTCACTGAAGGCAGGGCTTGAGTCTATAAAGTATGAATAGTAGCTGTCACAATTTGCTCTTTAATGAATGCTTGGGGGTGACTGGTTGAACCTTGTAATTACTAAAGCTATACCCAGGCAATTAGTTTCTGTGATTCCCCTATAAGACTATGCTGGCTACTCATCTACTGTCTTTCACTTTCATACTTGGTCTGAACTGCTCTACACCCAGCTCGGGGCTTGGTCAGCCAATTTCGTTTAGCAACCTTGCCTGTCAGCTTCCTGTAAGGTTTTACCGAGGGAGGCAATAGTGTTAGATGGGAAGAGGAGGGGAGAGGGATTTCCATGCTTTTTTCATTCCTATCAGTGTTGCTCCAGCGACAGAGGACAGACAGCGTCATCTCCCAACTCCAGCTGTGTTCCTTCTCCCCTGTTAGTTGAGTACCAGCTGTGTGGGGACCTCTCAGAGCTCCCAGGTTCTTCTCTTCTGTGCCCCCTGCCCTATGGGTGGTAGCTGCTTCCTGTAGTTATTAATATCTGGATTACCTTAGTGTCTACCTTTTGTTCTTTCAGTGTTCAATGCCTGTGTAATTTATTTCCAGAATTAAATTCTCTGAAATACCTCCCATGGTTTACTAGGCCCTGATTGATATAAAGGGAAGAAAAAATGTACCCTCATAAGAAATTACTCAGAGTGCTGATGAGCAGCAAAATTTTATATTGACTTGTGTAAGTCAATACAATAGACTGTATTGACATTTTATACTGTCAATAAAGTGAATCTAGGACATTTTTATAAGACTATCACTATGGTTTTTGTTTCCATACACTGATGGAAGTTGAAAACCTTGAGTATGATGAATCATTAAAGTGAGGTTAAGTTAAAGAGTATAAAATGCCTCATGACAAGAGAAATGGAACACTTAGAAGTGAGAAGGGGGAAGACAAAAAGGGAAGTAGGAGATATAACCACAAATTGTTCTCCATTTGAGTCTATCTTAACAACTGTTTAAGTAAAATATTTAATAAGTCTAACATTCCAGCAAACCTCAAAATTGACATCACAGTAATGTGATAAATGTATTTTTATGAAAATAAAAGTAACAAAAAGTCACAAAAAGATCTGTCATATCATTCAAAGAATACACTAGGTTAGCTGTTTGGAAAACCAAAGAAAATGTGGTAGCAACGGCAGCTTTGACCTTCATCTATCACTCTAAGTTCTTGGCAGAATATGTAGATCTATGCATATTTCCTGAAAATCAATAGTGGGTACTAACTCTAATTTCGAGCATGGCTTTGCAGTGATTTAGTTATTTTTTTCTAAATATATAACTGGACCCAAAATGTACAAAGGTATGCAAAGTTCCTCTCCATTCCACCTTATACCTGCTTAAAGACTTATCCTCACTTTTACAGCAGGAGGTTATAGGTAGACTATGGAGGTCGAAGTACTAGATTCATATCCTTGCTCTATGACACTCACTAGCACTTCAGGCAAGTATCACTAGACTTCTGTGCCTTAGTTTTATCATTTCTCAAGTGGGGAGAGTAACAGAACCTATTTAATGGAATTATTATACAGCTCAAATGAGTTAACATATATGTACGAGGGCTTAAAAATGGGACATGGTATACGAGTGTTGGATCAAGTATAACCTGTTGTTGCTGCTGTTGTTATTCCACATAAAAGGATAGGTAAAGCATAAACATGCCAAAGGGAAAATTACACGATTCATCTTTATATTGGGAGAAAAAGTGTTTATAGATCACAAACTAGGAGTTTTGACAATACAAGGACCTGTATCAGAGGGTAGTTCTTGACCTTTTTCCAAATTATGGACCCTTTTAAGGATGTGTTAAAGCTACAGATCTCCTCGCTAGAAAAATTCATATATCCACAAAACTTTCCAAAATATTTCAATGTTCTTGGACTCAAATCACAGATTTCATGATGACATAGCTATATCAAAACTTAAACACTAGAGGGTGCCACACCAAAGAAAAATATAAAAGAAGCACAAGGAATTTTAGGTTGCTTAAAATTCAACTGGAACACCCTTCCTTAGAAAAAAAATAGTTAGGTGAATCTACTTCACCAAATACTATAAACTAAACCAAATCTTCTACAGGTTCTAGATTAGCAGTATCTAAAAGAAATTTCTGGGATGATAGAAATGTTCTAAATTTACACTGTCCAAAACAGTAGCCAATAATCACATGTGGCTATTGACTACATGAAATGTGACAACTATGACTAAAGAATTAAAATTTTACTTTTATTTAGTTTTGATTTAAATAGCCACATGTGGCTGTGGCTCTCACACTCAACAGCACAGTTCTACATCCTATTTTTTAGGTTTGAAATGAACTTGTTTCTCAATTACAGGTCATTATTATATATCACTGTTAAAGAACTTTTTAAGACAATAGGTTCATATGACAATTCAGACCAACCTCTCTTGTGAAAATTCAACACTGCAAAGACAGACTGTCACTGTCTCTCCCCTGCCCTAGGTGTTCACAATCAAAAGTAAAGCTAATTCTTTTAGTCATTACAGAAGACTCTACCTACCCAGTTCTCTGATTGTTTCTTAATTCTCTTGGTTATAAGAGCTTTAAAAAAGGTGAAAATTAATAGTTAAGAAAGAAGGCTTTTGCCATTAAAAAAAAAAATCAAATTCTAGTGATAACCAACAAGGGCTAAGGGTACGGAGAAGACTGCAAGGACATCAAGTAAATACCATGAAGGAGAACAGTCTTCAGCAAGGAGTATGTCGGGTGCCACGATGAAAGAAGGGCACCACAGGCAGAGGCAACAGCTTGTGAAAGCACATGGGGGGAAATCAATGAACACCCAGACAGCAGACTCAAAGCAACACAGCTCTCAGTCGCCTCCAAACCAGATTCTTTCTTTGCACTGCAATTTAATCTGCTAAAAATAAAGCTAATGCTGACCCACCTGTCAAAGAGGGAAGTAGTCTATCCGCATTGTACAACACCTTACAGCTTACAACCCGGTGTCTGGCACAGTGCCCTGAATGGAGAAGGTACCTAATTAATGCTGATGACAATGGTAAAAAGGATTAGAAAATGCATTCTCAAATATTCGGATGCCTTATTAACAGCTATAAATGTCAATAAAAAGCAGGTAAGTTACTGAAGCTATCACAGGATTAGAAACATGATGGATAGGAAGTTTAGCGTGCCCAGGCATTTAATTGCAAATGGACAGAATGCAGCTGGCTTTTTTTGCAGGAAAATCATTTGTCCACAGCTGCTTCCCAAATTACCAAAAATCAAATAAATAGTTGTCATGTGATAGCAGGATTAGAGGCTGCTTCAATCTCCATTAAGGAGAAATAACATAAATTGCCACAAGTCCCACCCCTCAGTCTCAGACAAACACAAAGGACACTTTTATTCAGATCTGCTTACTGTGAAATATAGCATTGTTGCCTGGCCGCTTGTAGGGTGGGCCTCAATCCTGCTGGATCTGTTATTATACAACCAACATTCAGTTAAAGCTGTTTCTTAGATTCTGGCAGACAGTTCAATGCATGATTTTTCTTTTGAGATAACTGAACTTGTTTCTGGATAAAATTATGAAGGAATAAGTGTCAATACTATCAATCTAGGAATCTCTGCGATTCAATCATTCTCTCATTCCACAAATATTTACTGAATTCTTATCAGGTATTCCTAGGTTATTTTAACATTAGTATTCAAAGAAAAACTATGACTGGCAACTCTAATCTTTTATCTTTAGTTTAAAATTTTTATTATTATAAAAATGACACATGTTCTTCTGGATAACAGAGAAAATATGGGTAAGAAAAAAATAAAGAAACAGAAATCACCACCCAAGATGGCCACATTACCAGTTAACAATTTGGTGTATATATACGGTATGCTTCTAGCTCCCATCCCTCCATCGACTTTCTGATATGGTTGGTTGGTTTTGTTTTAAACAAAAGTGAGGATACCGTGTACATGCTATTTTATAAATATTTTTAAATGTAATAAAGAATTAAAATTTTTCATGTTAATATTTTTACATAATTTTTAATGTTAACAGAGCATTCCCTGTAAAAATGTACAGTACTTATTTTATTAATTCCAAAAAGTTAGTCATTTAGGTTGTTTTCAGTTTTTTCATTATTATAAACAGCACTGTGATAACAATTCTTATATTCAATAAATATCTGTTGCATAAATGAGTAAACCAATGGTTTACTAAGCAAGTCTTTAACACACACCCAATTTCCTTGGTGTTTAAAGGACGTAAAATTTTGATTAATCACAGTTATGATTCTGGACTTGCTATTATAGCAGGCACAGAAAAGAAATGCAGTAAAAACAGCAATCTAAACACAAAGGTAAATACATAACGCTGGTGGTGCATGGAGGACAGAATGAAAATCTGAACCCTGACACTGAAAGCATAGATTCCAGGAGGTGGGATACAGAAAAGGGATGTGCAGGAGCACCTATAACCCCATTTACGAAATGACACATTGAGACCTTACTGAAAATTGATGAATCAAAAAATAAAAGTTTGTCATTTAAAATTATAAAGATAGTTAATAAAAGACTCTCAAATATAATATAAATATCAAATAATGGGAGATGGAGAGAGGGGGTAGAAAATGTCAGTTAAATTCTTATTTTTCGTATAAAAAGATCCAAAGATGTTATCTAAAGTTGATAAATAAGGAACATAAATTTACACATATTATTGAGACTTATGAAAATAACTCCACAAGAAGCTAAAAACAAAGAGTAAAATAGTTTTTAAAGGTTGTCTGTGGACTGCTGGGCTGGGGATGGGAAGAGATGAGGCAGGAGATTCGTGGTTTTTTGTTTGTTTAATTGAAAACTCTTTCCTCTGCCATTTGATTTGTTAGGAAGTACAAATAATACTCTAATGAAGACTGCCTGAAAAATCTGTACCCATTCACTTTGACTTATATCCTCTTATCTTGATAATTAATCAGACCCAAATGCCCAAAGAGCTTTACTTTAACAAGAGGCAAATTTAAAATACCGAAGACTGTGGAGACCATCTAGTCTGCTTTTCTCATTTTACAGACTGAGATCCAGAAAGACTAAGTGAGTTAACTGCAGTCACATCTCTAGTTGGTGGCAAAGCCAAAACTTGAACCCACCAACTTGAACCCACATCTCATGCCTCCAACTGCTCCCTCAGAAACCTCCCCTGTCCTGGAGCACAACCTCTAAACATTACTGGCTTCTTAACTGCTATCTTACACTATCATGTGTGTTATCTTCAAGCCAAAATTTGAGTTTTACTGAGGGTCCAGTGAATTTGGATTATAAAATGATATGCATGTCAGACTGAAGTGACTTTTCAAACTGCATCTGCAGGTACCCATCCCAGTCCCTCTAACATGTCTCCTGTTGCCCTGACCATCACTGCCTTAAAGGATATAGCTACTTTCAGGACTGGCTCCTACAAACTTGAGTCCTGAGATGCATGCTTCCTAGCTATGAGAATAAATGCACTCCACGAAATCCTCAAGTAATGTCTTTGCAAGGTAGTCTTCTGTGAGCACCAGGGTAGTCAACTGATTTCATCATGTTTTTCTTCACTCATATTAAATGGTTTAGCTAATTGCCTACTCCCACTTTCAGTAGACAGAACAAAATTATTAAAAAATAAAAATGAAAAAGGACAAGGAGTTGACTTTGAGGAAAATGGAGAATTGTGCATAGATTTTAGGTTTGTAATCATACTATTATAAAATTATTTTAAAATTGAATTTTGAATCCTATAAAAGTCCCTATTATTACTTATATTTATATAAATTTAGAAACAAGAAAAAAAAAACATGTAAAAATGGGGGCCAGACCAATTACTGGAAACTAAGTGTACACAGAAGAGTCAAGATCTAATAACCAAAATTCCAGTATCCACACTACTGTATTTTCCATAAATTTTGCACAATATATGGATAGTGTACTACTGTCTTGCTAATTTGAAATAATACGGAATGTTTAAAAGTCTGCTTTCTCACACATGGAGCTGGGCATAGGAGATCAGTGGGGCAACAGCAATATTAATATTGAAAAGCAAGTGAGAAGTGAGCCTAACACATCATTTTGTGGTTTACTCTGTGTTTTACTCCTTCTAATCACTGTGAAACTAAGGACTAAGGAACCCACACATATAGTTTGGTGGTGGCAAGATCAGTTGAGGCTTTTTTTAAAAAGTCAAACAATATATATGGAAGTAGTTTATAACTATAACATGCTACAGAAACATGACATTATTTCACTTTATTGTAGAGCAAGAAAATGAGGCAGTAAAGGAAATGATTGTTGCAATTGTTCATGCAACCATCCACCCAGCATTTGAGTGCCAGGATCTTAAGGACAGAACCAAAAGCAGCTCCAGGTCTGGTCAGAAAAAGACCATGTAAACTAAAGCAGACCCTTATACCTGTTTTGTTTGGTCTGTATTGTTTTTTGTGTTTGGTTTTTAAAAGTGAACTATCAACATTTAAAAATTGGGAAACAATATAAAAGCTCCAGATTTCTGACTTCTCTTGAAAAATCAGAAAGTTCTGGGAACACTTTGAAGCAGTGTTGTGTTAAAAGCTTGGGCTTGAGAGTCAGTTCTGCCATTTGCTAGTTTCGTGTTACTTACCCTGCATCTCGGTTTCCCATTTATAAACTGAAGGTAATGTATTAATACCTTCCTCATAGTGTGGATGTGAGGATGAAATGAAATAAATAAAGCACTCAGCAGAGTATCCCTCCAATAAATGCTAATCATTATTATCATTTCAGACTAGCAACAACTAACTGGCTAGGGGAGCAGAACCAGCTCCTATTAACGGCAAGTTCTCTTTACGATGTCTACTCCCGGGCTGCCTTGCTCCATTACAATGCCTGCTTGGTCTAGCACCAGAGGTTGAAAACTCTAATCATAACAAAGACTCTGCAGTGCAATGTATAAATGCTATGAAAAATAATTATAAGAGTGGGGCTCAAAAAAGGAGGTATGTAATCCAATCAACAAACATTTACTGAAGACCAGGTTATAGGCCAAGAGATACAATAATAAGCAAGAAAACACAGTCCCAAACCTCAAGGAACTTATATGCTGGTAGAGGGAGCCCCCCAAACGAAGACATTTCGGTAAGTGACAGGTACTATGTAGAAGATAAAATAAGGCAATTAAACAAGAAAATGGGGTGGAAATGGTCTGTGATGAGGCAGATTTGAGTTTTGACCTGAATGCATGAGAAGGCAACCATGGGAAGAGCCCAGTGAAAAGAGGCAGGGTGGAAGGAAGCAAAATGGGAGAAATTATGTAAGGCCTTTGGTAGGCCTTGGGAAGGAGTTTGGATTTTATTATGATCAGGAAAGATTTTATGAAGTAGCTATTTAAGAGGTGTTGGGAGCTAAAAGGGGGTTGGGGTGGGAGTATGAGGAGCATGACCAAGCATGGAGTGCACCAGAGGTTCAACTTGGGGGAGGCCAGACAGTGGGGGCCTTATATGCTGTGCAGTTATTTTTATCTCATCTTCTAGCTTAGTGATACTTAATATTATGAAGATCCTTTTATAACAACCAAAAAGAAAAAGAAAAGCCAGAAAAAGAAACCTTTCCTACATGATAGTTGCAGGTATTCAGAAAAAGATCATGAAAGATCATCGTGTTGCTTACTATCTATTCAGCCTACAGATAACCACAGGTCACAAAAGCCCCTCTGCTATAACTCCTGGCCACCCTTGGGGACTGGGTGATAGGATGGAAACACTGCTAAAGGTGATGAGTAGCATTCTGCAAACACTACAACTCTGTGAAGAAAGGCTTGGGAAGGACTGAGTCAAACCAGTCAGGTACCTAATTCAATGGTCCATGAGGGAGCACCAGTGGGCCTCAGCTAAAACACTGGGCATGGAAAGCATGTGTGAAATATTTAGGTAGCAAACATGGAAAAGACTTGGTGAACAATTAGATCTGAACAGTGAGTGAGTGGTAACTCCAGGATGACGCACATGTTTCTGGCTTGGGTTGGTGAGTGCCTCGTTAACCAAGGCAAGGAACAGTAAAAGAGCAGATTTGCAGAGAAAAACAATGTTTCACGACATTCACGCTAGCTATCCAAATATATTCCTAGATCTGAAGCTGTGGGACAGGTATAAGTTTGGGACTCATCAACAAGGAGATGGTAATGAAATCATAGAGCATAAAAAAACTGACCAAGAATAATACGTAAAGTGAAACAATAAAAGCAAGGAAATGGAGAATATTCAAAGGGTATACAGAGATGGGGGGAAAAAAAAACCTGAATAATAAGAGGAAGTTAGAAGGAAGAAATGAGCATCAGGAGAAAGTAGTTCCATGGTAGCCAAATGAAGGGAGAAATCAACAATATCAAATGTACTGACAGAAGAGTTGAGATAACACCTTGTCAGGAGATTCAACACATTCATTCATTCGACAAATACATGAGAATCACCT